CCTCTGACCCTCCCCCCTCTCATGTGCTTTGTCTTATTCTCTCTCTCTCAAATAAATAAATAAAATCTTTAAAACAAACAAACAAACAAAAACAAAAACAAAAAAAACAAAAAAACATTAAATCCCCAGTGCAGTAATAGAATTGGGGTAGTGAATGTTGGAGAAGCCTTTTCTTCCTACATACAAAGAACCACTGAAGTATAATAATCTCTCGGTATGTGAGGATACGACATGGATGTTATGTTGCATGTGGGGTAAGGGTTAAGTGCACAGATTCTGGAATGAGCTAGCACTGATAACAAATTCTGCCTCTGCCATTTATTAGCTGTTTAACCTTGGGTAATTTACTTAACCTCTCTAATCTTCAATTTCCCCATCCCTTAAAGGGGGGATGATAGAAACTACTTTTTAGGTTGTTGTGTGGATTAATGAGATAGAGTATATGAATCACATAGCACGGTGCTTAGCATGTAGAAAATACCCTTATTATAATAGAGTATAATATTGCATGGTGTAGATTACAATTATTCTAGCCCATGGCTGGTTAGCTTGCCTGTTAGGACTGGCAGTTGAGATTGTGGGTTTGACCTCAGTGTTGGCTTTGCCTTTGTCTGTGGCCCCAGACTGCCTTCATCTGTCTTTGGTCACAGAGGAGACAAATATTTACAACTGTGAAGGGACTAGGGCAAATCCATCACGACTACAGGAAAAATCAACCCAAAGCGTGCAGGTCTGTAATGTCACCTACATCAACGGAGGGTGATGTTTTCCCATTAGGTGTGGAAAGCCGCCGCCTGGTTACTTAGACCAGGTGGGAGAGCCCCACAGACGGCTCCTACCTGGAGTTAGACAGACTGACATGTCACACGTAAGGTCTCAGCTCCATGTGTTGGATATATACTTGGCTGTTTTGTTTTAACTTATTTATTATCAATCTCTAGTCCCAAACTAATTTGTTTCAACTCCGCAATTGATGAGATGACATGGAGTACACCCTTACCCCGGAAATTTTTTGCGTCTCAATGGTTATAAATACCTCGGTGCTATTGTATTTGTCGTGCTGTATGCAAATGGAGGTAGGAGTCCGAAAGCTCATTAGGCGAGGGACAGAGGCTTGGAGCTTGGAGAGGACCGTGTGGAGCTGAAGCTGATAACAGTGGCCTTGTCCAGAATAGTGCCTGGGAGCTTTCTTATCTCCCTTTGGCAGGAGGTGCTGTGGGCTTCCTGTGCGAAATCAGGAGTGAACGCTGCTTTCCTCTTGTTGTTCGGCTTCCTCCCCCCTCAAGACGGTTCCCAGCACAGTGATTATCTTTGCATCTTCAAACATGGCACAATCTACTTCCTTAAGAGCTTGATGTATTCTTAAGGCTTAGGCAAATTCCCCTCCCCCTAAAATCTCTTTTCAAGTGCTGTTATATAGTCAGGCTCCTAAATGACATTCTATTTTTATGGTTCCAATTACAAAGAAGGAAAAAGAAAAAAACAAAAACAAAAAACCAGTCCCCAAATTAGAAAATGGCCACAAAATCTGTCCTTTGCACTGGGAGGACCTTGCCGTGAGTCTAGCCTATAGTTTCCATAGGGCTTGTGCTGCCAGCAGCCGCCTCTGGGGGCAGGGGTAGGGGTCAGAGGTTGACAGCCCCGCGTGAACTTGGGCAGCAGACTGCACTTCCCTTGGGAAATGCCTAGACTCGCTGTACTCGAACATATTTCTTTGCCTTTCCTGAAGATCAAGAGTATGCAATTAAGATCTCTGTCTGAGGCATCCGTTTATCTTTTTCACTTCTTTGGGGGGAAAAGAATGAAATTAAAAGCTTCTTTTCCAGATACAAGAGAATACCAGCTGTTTGACGGCACAATGCCAAGTACACACGCACGTGTCCAATACAGGTGTGCACGTGTGTAAGAAACCCCATCTACATGTAAGGCATACGTGCGTTGGCTGTACTCATATGTGTCCTGAGCGTGTGTGAAGGACCTGAGGTCAAAAGGCGGTTCAGGGCATGGCTGTAACAGTCCAGAGAACAGACAACGAAAAATTGCAGAATGACAGGATTTCAAAACTATAGCATTACAGTGTTTCAAGTAAAGGAGAAAGTATATAATTTCTCTTGGGTTCATTTTCCTCTACTAATCAGTAACAGTTAAAACATTCACTTATTTTACCCGATGACTATAAAGAATATCTAGTAGAAATTGCATAAATTCCTTAAGGAATGGCCTGTCCTTATTATTCTTTCTTATTTAAAATCTTATCATCTAACTGTAAAAGAGAGACATTTTGCCAACATTTGGGGAAATCTGGTATATGGAGTGGGTACAGTTAGGTGTAATAATGGCCTTGTTGTTATCTTAGAAAATGTGCATTCTTTTAGGAATATGCACTGAAGTATGTAGGGCTGAAATGACACCTGAGATTTGCTTTAAAATACTTCACAAAAGAGAAAGATGGAAAGAAATAAGGATAGACAAAACAACTGTGGCAAAATCTGGATCACTGTTAAATCTGGGTGATGGGTATATGGGGCTTTATTACACTAGGGCTGTGATTACCAAGATGTTTGAAAATAATGAACAATGAAAACAAATGAAAGCTCTTGCTAGAAACAGCGTATCAGTCCCCCATGCCTGTGTGTATATTAACAGGTGTTCATAGCGTGCCAGTGACACGCTCGGCCCTTGCTGTGATGTGAGGACAGAGTGTACAGTAGATGTGGTCCCCTGGAGCTGCTGGTCCAGTGGGGCCACTTAGAACATGGGGAAAGCTCTGGGGGCAGACATGACAGGGCAGGAGAGGACACCACCCAGGAAGACTCAGTGGTTTAACAGTCTGGAGTCCCTTCTAGCTCAAGGACCATAGAGGGATAATCACAGGACATTTTCCTGGTCTTCACAATCCCATCTATCCTACCTGCTTCCTCAGCTTATTCTCTCCCTGTCATCTGATGTAAATGATGGCCGCCTTGGCTACCTAAGATCAACCACTCATTCTCTCTGGAAATTGGGCTGTGAAATTCCTCTTGGCTTGAAAATCCCCATAATCTGCCCACGACAAGTACAAATTAGAGCCCTGTAGGTTCTCTGCTCACCACAAATTCTAGGTAGGGAATGGACTATGAATGGCCTTGACTGTTGGACAAGGAAGCTGGGCTTTCTTCAGTATAGTCATTGGAGCTTTGGAAGCAAAAAGGATTCCACTAAAAACCAGAACATTCAGGAGTCTGGGAGCAGTTTTGTGAGTGTTGAGATTAATAACTATTTCCACCAAAATCTGAGTAATAAGCCATATGAAAACAGAAGCTTGCTGATAAGAACGTGTATTTGAGAGAACATGCTAACTTCTCTCTTTAAAATGGTACTCTACTAGCTAGTTTCATATAATAAGAGATCTCATGGACTTTTAGAAACAGAAGAGATCATTTTATAATTAAACACTTTGAGGTCTGAGCAGTTAAAGAGCTTCTCATGATACTCCAAAACTTGGAAAGAAATAGAATTTAATAACTGCTTCATGCTGTGTGTTTCCATATACACTTAATAGCCCTGGAAAAAATTAGCTGTATAATGGAATATTCTGATTAAAACCAACCTTTTATAGATGTGAAATGCTATTATTTCCTTGAGGTTTCCATTCATTAACATAACTTCTTTTTTCCCCCCTGTGTTTGCATGTTTCCTCCACTAGGAACTGATTAAAATCTAGATATTAAATTTCCTAATTTTTGCATTTTTACTTAGTATTTAATATTTAGAACAGGAAGGATGTATGGAGATATACTGGTGTGGGTTGCTTTCAGAGCAAGCAAAATATATTTTCTATTTTTAAGTTGTGGGGATGAATATGGGGGGAAAAATCTAAGGAAAAGAGGAAAATGTGTTTTGTTATCTTTGTTATCTCAGGACTTAACCAGTGATTTTTATTTCACCTGTCACCATGGGCTGGACCATGCTACAAAGCAATATAGTGATGACTTGCTTTTTTTAAAAAATAGGTATGACTTTTGCTCCAATAATGAAGAGTCCCTAATCCTGGATCCCGACAGCAACATAGGAAACAGGATTGAGAGCATCACTCAGCGCACGGCAATAATAGAAGGAAAGAATAAGGTATTGTCTGCAAAAATAAGCACTGGCATATTTATTTTACTTTATTTTCAAGATTTTATTTATTTGAGAGTGAGCGAGAGCACAAGTAGGGGGAGGGGCAAAGAGAGAAGGAGAGAGAGAAGCAGACTTGATCCCAGGACCCCAAGATCATGACCTGAGCCAAAGTCAGATGCTTAGCCAACTGAGCCACCCAGGTGCCCCTGGGATATTTATTTTAAAAACACACACTTGGCTTCCAGTTCTGGGTTTACTAGAACCAGAAGTAATTCAAATGCTCACAACAAAAGTTCAGAGAGAAGACAAGATCAGAGATATGTCTTCGTGGAGAGATACCCTGAGACTGCTTAAACTCTGTTCTCCAGTGGCCCACCAGTTCCAAAGGCATGAGTACTAGGTCCTAATGCAAGAGGCAGAGCGGCCTCTCACATACCAACGGCTTTCAACCCTGGCTGAATATCAGAATACTCCACCAATTATTCTTACATTTGAATCTCTGGAGTAGAGCCTGGGATTGATAAAAGTTCCCTGGGAGATTGTAGCACATACCTAGGACTGAGTATCTCTGACATACATAAAGTAGGTAGTCAATAAGCAAAAGCTAGTACAAGACTTAGGTCTAAAATGGAATATTGCCATCTCACAAAATAGATTGTTTTCCCTCTGTCTTCATAAAGGCAAAGCCTAAGTCAGGGTATGCAAACACATTAGAGTATATCAGGATTCCCTGACCTAAGAAATACAAATCAAAAGCACAAGGAGCTATCGCCTGACACCTGTTAGAATGGCCATTATCAAAAAGACAAGAAATAATGAGTATGGCTGAGGATGTGGAGAAAAGGGAATCTTTGTGCACTATTGGTGGGTTGTAAATTTATACAGCTATTATGAAAAACATGGAGGTTTTTGGAGGTTTCTCAAAAAACTAAAAATAGAACCACCCTATAATCTAGCAATTCCACTTCTGGGTGGAAAACAAAGAAAGAAAAAAACAAAAACACTCAAAAATATCTGCACCCTCCTGTTCATAGCAGTACTATTTATAATAACCAAGATATGGAAGCAACTTGAGTGCCCATCGAATGAATGAATGAATGAAGAATGTATGGTATGTATATACACAATGGAATATGACTCAGCCACAAGAAAGAATGAGATCTTGCCATTTGTGACATGGATGGACTTTGAGGGCACTAAGCTAAGAGTAAGAAGTCAGGCAAAGAAAAGACAAATACCGTATGATCTCATTTATATGTGGAATCTAAAAGAAACCAAACCCCAAGCTTATAGATTACAGAGCACAGAATGGTGGTTGCCAGAGGCAGGGGTAAGGGTTGTGAAGAATAAGTGAAGGGGGTCAAAAGGCACGAAGTTGCAGTTATAAGATAACTAAGTCCTGGGGATTATTGTACAACATGGTGAATATAGTTAATCATACTGAATTGCATATTTGAAAGTTTGCTAAGAGAATGGATCTTAGTACTTCTCATCACAAGACAAAAAATTTGCTTAACTATGTATGATGACAGATGTTAAGTGTACTTACGGTGATCGTGTTGCAATATATACAAATACTGAATCATTTATGCTTTCTTACATTTGAAACTAATACAGTGTTATGTATCAATTATACCTCAATTAAAAAAAAAAAAAAAAAAAAAGACTTCTAACCAAAAAAAACCACACAGTTCCCTGACCTAATGAGCATCTAGCACACATCTTTGCTGGTACGCTTTTTGGTATTAAAAAATTTTTATTGAGGTGTGATTGACATACAAAAAGCTGTACAAATTTAATGTGTACAGTTTAATGATGACTTTGGAGATAAATATACACCCACGAAACCATCAATACAGTCAAAGCTACAAACTTATCCATCGCCTCCAAAAGTTTCCTCCCACTGAATGTAGGAACGTGTGAATGAATCAATGAATTAATGATAACACATAGCAAATGTATACAACGCAGCATTGTTCAGTGCAAGTAACTACGCTGCACAGTGGATCTCTAGGACTTACTCATCTAGCATCACTGAAACTTTGTACCCTTTGACCAATTTTGGAAGATTCAACTTCTCTAAAAGAGATGCCAAGAACTGCAAAGGCTCTTGAGATTGTACCCGATTTTCAGGCTAACAGGTAGGCCTGTCCCAGTTTTATGTTTTGTGGTTGAAGACCTGCTACTTGCGGGTCAGATACAAGGACTTTATTACTCACAGCAAATCTCGCGGGCTTCTTGTTAGCACTGGTCCTCTTGCCCCCGAGTGCCTGGGTAGAAACTGTGCAGGCAGTGGATTTGCAGAGCAGCTGAGGGACCCTGAACTTTGGGAACCCGTATTTTTTAGAGTGGGTGGCCTTTGCTGTCCCCTCCTGCATACCATTCCTTCGCCGTTCCCCTGGGCTCCGCTGAACCTCAGCAATAGCAGATACCTTATGAACTGGGCACATCTCATGGACCTCGGACTTTTCTTTGGTTGAATTCAGGAAAAATATACTTTAAAATCGGCCCTTACCAGGCCCAGGGGTAGTGATGCTTTAAAAGTAAAAAGCTCCCAACCCCTTGCCAAAATGTCGATTTATACATGCATATCTTGACTCAGAGTGGCTTGTTAGTATGGGTCCGTCTGCTTGAGTGTGGTTATGCGTGTGTTATCTGTGTATTCAGCTGTATTTTTTGCGTTTGAAGGCAACAAAGTAGATAGCATCATTCCCCCCACTCCCCATGTAGGATTGAACAGTGACGACAAATAACATCTGATTTCCGCGTTCTGTAAAACTTTTTGACATACGCTCGTATCAACAACATTCTGGCCAGCCGGAGTGGTTATCTACTTTTTAAAGATAAAAACAGGGGTGGTGAGATGAACTCAAAGCCACACAGCTTAAATGTGGCAGACGAGAAACTCAAAGCAAAGTCTTCCTAGTCCAAAAGCCACGGCTCTTCCAACGAGGTACAGAAATTAAAATGGTGATGACTTCCATGAAAATATGAACAATCACTTGTCAAGGATTTAAGAAAAGTTTTTCTGACTACAGTCGTGGTTTACAATTCTTTTTTTTTTTTAAGATTTTATTTATTTATTTGACAGAGAGAGACACAGCGAGAGAGGGAACACAAGCAGGGGGAGTGGGAGAGGGAGAAGCAGGCTTCCCGCTGAGCATGGAGCCCGATGTGGGGCTCTATCCCAGGACCCTGGGATCACGACCTGAGCCGAAGGCAGACGCTTAATGACTGAGCCACCCAGGCGCCCGTGGTTTACAATTCTTTTTCTCTAATACAAATGAACAGTAGTTTGAAACGTCCCATGATGGATAACCATGGATGAGAGCAGTTCAGTGAAATCCTTAGAAAAGAGGAAATTCTATGAACTTCAAAGTTTAATTTGGGTGACAGTACGTCTTTTCAAAGAAAGGAAATGCCTCACAGTAGAAGGCAAGTTAGTTGTCACAGAATATACTAGAAAACTTCAAGATGCCACTGAATGTGTTAATTCGTTTTGCCTTCTCCTGATCATATCAGGGAGATGGACTGTTAACTGCTGGATATTAAAAAAAACATTTATGAGCCTAATTCCGATGGTAAGTTTTAATTCTATTCTGGCGTCCTAGCCACAAAAAATACGATAGAAAAGAAAGTGGAAAATGAAAAAGCCAGGCGAGGTTTCGGATTAGCCTGAACCATAAATTAGCAACCTGACTCCATACAGAATTACCTGGAAAGCACAGAGGGAGTGAAGTCACAAAACCCGAGTGAGATAAGGAACTTCCTTGATGCTTTTCCACACGGCTTGAAACAAGTTTATTGTCTTGTAATTTTGTAGTTATGCAGATGTTTTAAATATAGATCTCCAGACACAGTGGGCATGTATGTTGACCAACCTGCAGCCAGGAGCCCTGGGGTCAAGCTCTGCGACTTCCTATCTTGTATAACCACACGCAGATCCGTCCCTCTCTCTGAACCTGCTCCCTCCTCCAAAAGATGGAGCTAATAATACTTGTCCTCCCTCATTTGCCCGTTCTTATAAACATGATTGTCATGTATGCCCTAATGCAGTTCCCAAGTTGATTGTGATCGTATACAATGAAGACTGTTTGTTCAATAATTGTCTGCATTGAAAAACTTTTAATACTTTTAACAAAGTTGTTATCTATGTATATCATGTATCTGTGGCATATCCTCTTAGAAGCTGTAACAGTAATAGATTCTCATTCTTCATTTCAAGGCCTAAATTTAGAAGCATTTACCACTTTTACAATTTGGGCATCTATTAGTTTATCTCTGTGTATGTAGGAAAAAAATTTATGATGATGACAGATGGGAGTTTTGCTATTTCAGAATTATTTGCGCTGGCCTTTCCTTTACAATTAAAACTGCTTTTCTTTTCTGTCCATTTTTAGGAAGTATATTAAAGTCCCAGCTTAGACTCTAATGACCGTTTTAACTACAGTCACATAGTTAGCCCACACAGTGACACCCCCCACAGATCAGGGGAATAGAGGTCCCACTGGAGCCCCCATTAGATTCTAGGGATTTCCTTTTTTTTTCTTTGTTTTTTGTTTGTTTGTTTGTTTAACTCAGAAGGGTGCAGAGAACAATAAAATTTAGTTTCCTCATTGGCAAGTTTTGGCCTAGATCTGTGAAAAATGAGTCATCAATTGGAGTTGCTAATAGCAAATGCGGAGTTTTAGCATTCTTTAATGGAGTTGCCAGACTCTTGGGTTTGTAGCTACGGAGTAGGAAGTAGAGGGAACCCGGTGCTAGAAAAAACACTCAGGAAATACATATTACAGCATTCATTCTGTGAGGCTGGAGAATTGTGACAATTTTAATGTTTTAGCAGTGTTTCCATTGAAACCGTTTGGAGGTTACCTTGAGAAGGGTTACCATTACAAGACTGATCCATGACAGTGACCTTAAAACTAATGACAGAATTACAGTTTGTGTCTCATTTCCCACACTCCTCAAGTTTTTCGAATTCTCACGTTCTGTTTTCCCATCACTTGGCTCAAATGTGCCACCTGAGGTTAATTTTAGATTCTTCCATGACCTTTATATATCTACTTTTATGTCTCCCTGACACACTTGAAAGGAAACGATATTAGAAACATCCCGAGATTAAGATCACGGGTCCATATTTAGACCTTTTAAAACTAGTTCTGGAAATTAGGCTGAATTACACATCATCCCATCAAAATATTCTCACCCATGAGGTTGCAACCTCATTGTGGTAGGGAATTACTAATGTGTAGGGAAAGGGAAGGAAGGAAGGGGTATGAATAACTTCCCAACTTACAGTACCTGATGACAGATTTCATCAGCGTTCTTGGGTCATACAAAAGAACCCAGAAAATGACTTTAAGGCTCTATTTCTAATATCTAAATCCTTGAGGTCCTGGCAGGGCAAGTCAAGGCACCCCCAAAGTCTATGTTCAGAGCTAAAAAACAATTATGGCAAATGAAAACTAATTATAGAATGAAGACAAGCAGACATCCTTGAGAATTTCTTTTGGTGCACCTTCTAAATGATAATTTCAAACACATGTAACTACTCAAATTCTTGGCACTTCCTCTTTTAAAGTATTAAGTTAATATTTGGTGTTCCCACTGTTAGGCTATTTTCATCTTTTCCCCCTTTGAAACAATAGTATTTGGTTACGAGCACTGGGGAATGGATTTGTCCCTTTTACTCAGAAGACTTCTGCGTTTAGACTTGCTGTCCTAAGGGAAGTTGTCTCTTGTGCAGAAAAACCACACTCACCCACAACTCACAGTTGAGCTCCTTTTTCTGACCCTATAATGTTTATACTTCAATTATCAAATAAATATCTTTTGTTTGTCATGAAAACATGTTTTAGTTTCTAAGTTAAAAAATATATTCTCTGGAAAAAAGTGCTCCAGAAATCAGATAATTTTTAATAAAGTTGATCATAGGATATTAATTTCATCTTATTTTTACATTTCCTTCTTTTATTATAACTTTTTCATTCATCGGTCATATTCTCAAACCTTGTAACAATGTATCAGTTGAAAAATAGCTTGCAGCTTATGTGAAATAATAAGAGAGAAACTAGTATTTCTGTACATAGTAGCATTTTAGCTTATGTGACCCATCTCTGCCAATTTAAGGATGTGTTCTTAAGGAAGAACTCAATTCAAAGACTAGATGGAACTCTACCAATAGATCTGTGCCATTCAATCTAAAGAGTTTTAAGGCAAGAAGCAGTTTCATGTAGAGATCATGGGTAATATACCTACCTCACAGGGCTATAGGGAGGAGGAAATTAAAGTCCCAGCTTAGAGTATAATGAGCCTTTGACCTACAGTGGCATAGTTAGCCTGCCCAGCGACAGGCTAGATATCGCCTCACGTGCCATCTGGCACACAGCAAGGGCTACATAAAGGCACCCAGAAACAAAGGAATAATGTAAACTCCCATCGATGTCATTTTCTCGTCCAATTTTAATAGCAACTTGGGAGAGGTGAGTTCTGGAGCAGGCTTGCCTATGGGGAAGCTCTTGGTTTGGGAAGGGGTCATTCAAGCAAAATAAGAGATTCAAATATTCGTATCTCCATGGCGCATCCTGTGGCCTGGATTCCTTTCAGTTCTAGGTGTCTCAATTTCATTCTCTGATTATACAGAAGTTCTGAGCTCTCCCGACAGTTTATTGGAATCATCCCCCGATTGCCTGCACAAATCTTAACTGTGGCAAATGTGCCACATCTGAATTTCCTTCCCCTTGCCACAGAGCCCAGTTCTGGTGCTCACTTGCTTTGAGTCCAGTGAAATCAGAATAGTTTTAATAGAAACACAGACGCAACTTTCAGATTCAGGCAGTAGCTGTCCCTCATATCAAACATCCTCAGGACAAACAGAAATGAGTTTCTCACTTATTTACTGAGCAGCAAATCAAAGAATGTAGATAAGACTCTGCTGAGGCCCCTGAGGATAAACATTTGAGAGCTGACGTCATAAGAAAACCTGTGCTTGAGCTGGTGGGGGGGGGGCTTTATTGGTGTCCCCTGGGTCTGAACTTGTTGCATACCGCTTCCAAGCATCTGAGCCCAAGTTTGCAGAGACCAACTAAAGAAGTCAGTGTCTGACTTGATGGTCTGAATTGTCCCAGCGGTCACGAGCTAACACTTCCTTTCACACTGCTACCTACAAGCTTCACTTCTAATTACTGCCATTTTCTTCCATGGCTCTTAAGTGGTGGGTGCAGTAATTAAAAGAAATATCCTGGCTAGAATTTCCTTGTATTTCCCACCTCTTCTAAAGATTATTAATTCGCATAGGGAAAGAGACACGTGAGTTCTTTTCATGATCTCCTCTACTGGCCATTTGCCTCCATGGGAGTGTTTCTCTGCAAAAGAGAGAATAATACGTATTTGATCTTCAAGCAGGGAAATTATCTGTCACCTTAAAGCAATCCTCCAAGGACTATTCAAGGTTAAGAATAGGGGTTGTGTCACATTCATCTCTGTTTCCCCTACAACATCTGCACCATACCTTCATAAACGCTCAATAAATGTCTGCTAAGTTGAATGAAAATTGCCACATATTGCAGACACTTTCATTTCCAGTAATTTCAATAATTCACAGAGGATATATGAGGAGATGTAATTAAACAGATCCAAGAAACAGAAGAGGAGACATCATGTAATATACACTATACTATAGTGAAAATTACAGAGAATCTGGAGCAATAAGCTTGCTGGCTGAAAAAACGAGGAGTGTATTTTTCAGTGTTCTTGATCTGTAGATTAAAGACAAATAATTTATTGGCTGGGATATGAGAACATAAGTAAAGTGCTTAATTAGCCCATTACTTAGCAACTCAGAAGAATGCTGGGACCCTTTATAGAATCGGGGTTCATCATCTTAGAAAGCCGACAGTCACATTTCCACCTATATATTACATTAGCCTGTAAGTCACTTGACCTAATTCTACTTCAGCTAGGACACTCCATTCTGTCTGGAAGCATCAGCAAGCCTCTCTAATTTCAAAGCCAATGACCAGTCATTTGTGTTCTAGGAGATAAGCCGCAACAATTTATAAATAACTGGATACACTCAAAAAAAAAAAAAAATACTAGAAACTTAACTTCCTTTTTCATTTGTTCCATAGAAAGGATGCATTACAATTTTGCAAGGCTGGGTTAGATTTTAAAACTCTCAACAACTCATTCCATTTTACTAATTTTTATCTTTAAAAGAAGACAGCAGAGTCTTTATGCTGTACAAATTTGTGTTTCATTACTCTGTGAGACATCACAGTTTAGAAAGCGCTTTCCAGCTCACACAAATGTGACCACTAGTGTTTCTTCAAGGGTTCACGTGTCAAATAGCAGCACGAAAATTCCGTGAAACGATATTGTATTCACAGTTTATGTCTTCGTTTTCTAGATTGGGGGTTGGCAGACTGAGAAATTAAGTCATTTATAAACACACAGGACAGCCTTAGAGAGCTTTCCAGAGCTTCTGCACCTTGGGGGCTGCAGAGCTCCATTCTTTGAGTACATAAAAGAAATGGTTTGGCCAACCTTTCTCTTCTGTCCTTGCTCACTTAACACGCCCATTACAGAAGCAAACAGCAAAGAAACCTCCTGTTACCAAATGGCATCCATAGTCTCAGGTCATCCAAACAAAAGGGAAGGTCTCAGCCTCACCTGTTCCTCTCATTGACGTGGAACTGACCACCTCATAGAGTAGGACGTGCAGTCCCGCATCTCAGCTTCAGGTCTGTAATTGTTACGCCAGCAGCACGAGATAAATAAGCCTGAAACCCTCATACGAGTCGGATGTCATAGCCCCCGGTCTCCTGAGGACCTGCTTTCCTGTTATTTTTCCATTCTTGCTGGGGCTCCGCAAAGGGAGAGCCTTCTGGTAACCGCCGTGCGCATAGTACTAGCCTTGTCGAATGAATGGAATAGCTGAATCACTTCAACCTTTAGAAGAATCTTAGGGATGTTCAAATAGCTCTTTGCTCTAGCTAAAGCTTCCTTTTCTTTTACAGACGGCTAGCACCTTGGTTGTGGCTGACTCTAGAATTTCTGGAATCTACAGTTGCATGGCTTCCAATAAAGTAGGATCTGTGGAAAGAAACATAAGCTTTTATATCACAGGTAAGCCGTATATCCTATACTCACAAAGATAGCCTGGTGACCTCGCTGTCCTTTCAATTCTGTTTGTTCTTAGTGCACTTTTGGCTTGAGGGATTTTTATTTTTAAAAACTTCCGTAGAATTGTTAAACTTGAGCACCTTCATCCTTGCTCTCAGGAATAGGATTCTGCAACATCACTGGATCTCTGAACAAGTTCTTTCTCTGAGTTCCCTTTTAGAGCTATGTGTGTACATCTCCCTCCCAGGCTGGATCGTGAATTTAGGATCTTGTCATGTTCATTTTTGAACTCCTTTCAATACCTGGCACAGGGTCTGGTACATAGAAGTTGTTCAGTAACAATCAAGGACACCAAACCTATGATGATAGGTTTTTGTTTTTGAAGCCGAGAAGCTAGTTGTCTCACAACTTAAGTAATTTCTACTTTTGAGGAATGAGGCTCTCCTGTAGAAACCTGAAACTGAGTTTGTTGACAGTAATTAATGTGGCTTTTTTGGTAGCATTTACACATTTTTCAGCCTTCAATATGATGGTCTCTGCAAATCTTAAAACTTCCAAGGTACACAAATGGCACTCCCTATGTCCCTCCACGGGTACAGGAAGGAAGTAAGTAGCTCAAAGTATAAAAACAATTGCCTGGCTCCGCACTGCCCCAATTTTCTGAGGAAACCCGGGCAGTTTGCCAGCTTTCTGGAAACTTTGCACTGCATGGGGCAGGCTGCAGCAGTTGCCTAGAGTTCTCTAGAAAGAAATAGGTAGGTCTCATTCCATGAGACATATGGGTTGTCGGATCACAGGGAGCCTTCCGGCAAGTTAGCCAATCCTCAGAGAAGCTGTGTCGTGGGAGATCTCCTGAGGTAGATTCTCACGGAATGTCAGAGCTGAAAGAGACTTGAGAGGCTATTCAGCATGATAGCCCTCGAACTTTGCAGGTCAGGAAATCGGGTTTGGAGAGGTGCAAGGGGACACGCCAGAGCCACCCGACACCAAGTCAGCCCCTGTCCTCTTCTACTCCTTACAAAGAGTGGAAGGGACATTGTCTCTGCATCCATTCCACGTAGGAAAAGTCCTTTATTTGGAGAAGGATTCAGATAGCAATTTCACACATACTGGTTCTCTAGCCAGTCTCGGATGATTTGGACTAATTAGGAACAAAGGTTTGAACTGTCCTTTATATTTGGTTGCAAACAAGTTCCTATCCAAATCCATAGTGCCTGTATGTATGATTGAAAGTATAAAAGATTGAGCAGTTCCTGTTCTGAACATTCAACAAGTTTACACAAGCTTAATGAGCACTATTAATTAGAATAGTTCAGCTCTGCACTGAGCACTTGAACAGATTATCAATGAAGCCCTGTCTTTATAGGAAGACAGTTTTAACATAAAAAAGAAGTGTTATCTGTATCCTAATATCAAAAGGCGTACGCAGAAGTAATGTGGCAGATAAACTTACCAACGCTAAGCCGATGCTGTCCAATAGAAATACAAGCCACACATGTAATTTAAAATTTTCTAGCAAAACTACGTTTTTTAAAAAAATAAAAAGTAAAATTAATTTTTTTTAACCCAGTATATCCAAAATACCATTTCAAAATGCAGTGTTTTCAAAGTATTACACTGCATCCGTTTTTACATTTTAAATTAATTGAAATAAAATTAATTGAATAAAATTCAGTTCTTCAGTCACACTAACCACATTTTAAGTGCTCAGTAGCCACACGTGGCCAGTGGATACTATGTGTACAGAGGAGCTTTAAACCTCTGAGAAGTAAGGGCCGAGGTCGACCTAGGGGAGGAGGGCATAAAATTTGAACAGGTAAAAAGAAGAGGACAGGCTTGCCTTGACATTTTCAGAGTCAATGCAAGAGTACCAGTGGAGGTCCACAAACTATACATCTAACCACGTCACAAGTTCTAAATGAACTTCAGTTATGTTTCATTTAGCTGTTATGTTTCAGCTTCTCATGGACAAATATACCTCCATGATGACCTGAGAGGTGAGGTGCAAATTTAGAACTCTGGGTCTCCTCACAGCTCCACCACAGAATGTGGCAATGCCTGGAGGTACAGAAGGAACGGCCCCCCATCTTCTCCTTCGACTCCTGGCTCTGTCCCACTACGGCACCCACATGTATGGTCTCCACAGCCCACATATCCAAGCGCTGCCCACACTCCTGACTAACAGTCTTCCCTGAGATCTAGACGTGTGCACACCTACGAGCAGTCTGACCTCAGGAGGACAAACCCAGGGAAGAGGACTTTGACAGTCTGGAAGCAGACTCGGGATCATCTTTACAAGGAATTCTGGGATCCCAAGGACCTCAAGCAAGATACGGAAGTGGGGGTGGCATGCTTTCTTGACCCCCCAGACTCTATATTGTGAGGAGGGGGACAGCCGGAGTAGAGCCATCTAAAGGCCCAGAACAGGGACCCCTCTTGCCTGGGTCTGAAGGCAGTACTGGAAAAGGAGGTACCAAGAGTAGAGGGGGATGTTGTGCTCATTTCCTTATTATTCAGAGTCCCCAAGAAAGATGAACTGATACCCAGCCTTAACTGCAGCGCCAATATCTAGCCTACCCCACTGAGCTCGGCATTACTGCGTGTCTGTCTGTGTGTGGCTGTCTTACTGACCAAGCTGATCACACGTTCAATGCAGACAGATTCCCTCCTACCACATTATACATGTATAACCATGGAATGGTTGAAAGCTTTTCTCGATCTCAAGGCTTGTCCGTAGAAAGGAGCTATGAGAATTCAATTCAGACGTACATAGTTGAGGCTTACAATGCTTTTCCTCTAGAAATTCAGGAGTTTTAATCTTACCCTGAAATGGAATATAATTGCTCTGAATTCTTTCCTACCAATCCTGAAAAGTTCTAGTTTTTGGTAATCATAGATTAATTTGCTTACATTAATTATTTTTTTAACTAATTACTACCTTTTTCTTACTTAAATCTTTGTCACGAGATTTATTCTCACTGAAGATAAAACTAGATACTCTTAGGAATGTTGCTCCTTACACGTGTATTTTCTGAAAAGTGAATGTACGTTTACTCAGTGTTTATGCTTGACTGCGTGCAAGGACTGTTTTAAAAGATCCAAAGTTTAACTCCTCTAAATCAAAAGATCTGGATTTGTCATGCATGTTGCCCCTTCCTTAAAATAGAGTAACAACTCACACAGGTTGCCTTCCAAACTGATGAAAACAAGTTAGCTGTGGCCTTTAGAATTCTCCACTGCTTCTACTCTAAACTTTGGCATTCACTTGTACATAGTGTCTACTTGAAACAAGCAAAACTTTCTAGTAACCACTCACCTCTTAGAGAATGTTTTTTCTGTTCTTCAGTAGAAGGAAAGCCTTCTTTATTACCACCTGACAAATGACACACTGCTCAGCGTGTTAATTTCTGTGCTTGTCTGTTTCATGAACTTAATTCACGTTTGATCCAACCAAGTCAATATGCGCCCCCCCAAATATGCACCTGTGTCAGTGATTACTCTTTGCACCTAACCCTAAATTGAGTCTCTCTTCTGACCAAAGATTGCTTCTTCTCCACGATACCTCATAAGATGCTGCGGATGTGCTCTGCGTCATAGGGGATGAGTGTTAGTAGGTGCCAATGAGGATTGTGCTAAATCTGCCACAGATACTTAAGTGTGAGAAGATTTCTCACTTTCGCTTTGTTAGAAGGCAATTCTTTGGGTCTGTTTTTGTACTCAGGCTAAAAAAAAAAAAAAAATCCACATGAATTAAAAGGAAAAATCCCTCTGGATTCATTAACTAGTGTTAGGACATTTTATTTATCATCTTCTGTGGCTCAAAAGAGAAGGCCAAAGGAGTTATCCTGAGAAATGGACAATCATTTCCTCTTTTTTTTTTTTTTAA